CCAAGCTTCTTTTCCTGCTCACTGGGGCCTTGCACTTGAACGTTTGGTTCCTGGTCACCTGGGCCTTGCACAGGGATGTTTCGCTGCTGGTGGGTTTTTGTCAGCCTGGAGCTTTCCTTCTGGAGTTGTACTTCCCAGAGTTGTGTTGAGGCATCAGGTGATTTTGCTGCTGGAGAACACCATTGCCCATGGTCGTTTTCTGAGCTGGTGTCTACCAGTTTTTCTTCCTGTATTGAGGCTCTCGGGGGTCCTGCTGTTGGCATTTGCCTGTTCCATCAATCTGGGTCTCAGGGTGTCCCCTTGGTATGCTGAGGTGGGGCTTGCCGCTGGCTTGCTGGGATGCCTCCAATCCTGTACTGCTTCCTCTCCCCTGGAGTGAAAGGTGCCTTTCCTGTTAATTCCCCAAGCTTCTGGGGGCCATCTTTTTGCTGGCTCAGGGTTTTTCCTAAGTCGATACTTTGTGAGCTTTCAGAGGTCAATGAGGGAGGGTGAGAGCCACTTACTTCTTATTCTGCCATCTTGGCTCTCAGAAGCAGAAGTTGCCCTAGGTTGTCTTAAAGAATTTGTCTTCACTCAATGTTAGATGTGTGTAGACTGATACTTTGTCATTCAAATCTTAGGAGCTGAGATGGATATAGGATGATAAAGGATAACATAGCTGGAAGGAATCTTAGAGACCATCTAGCCCAGCCTCTTCACTTTACAGATGAGGAAACTGAGGCCCAGGGAGGTTAATTACTTGCCCAAGGTCACACAATTTCAGTAGATCATAGAATCAGAGATGTAGAGCTGGGACAAAATCTCAGAGGCCAAGTGACCCAAACCCCCTCCTTTTATAGATAAGGAAACTGAGCTTCCAGGCCAGTGGGGCCAGTCATAATTAGGGTGAGTCTGAGCTTTGCTCCAGACATGGAAATATAGGGACAGTTAGGGGGCATAGTGGATAGAGCACCGGCCCTGGAATCAGGAGGACCCGAGTTCAAATTCGGCCTCAGACACTTGACACTTAGTAGCTGTGTGACCCTGGGCAAGTCACTTAACTCCACCTAGCAAAAAACAAACAAACTCAAAAACAGACATGGAAACATAGAGGGTATAGATAGCAATAGTAGTCTTTTTTAGAAACAACTGAATCTAGTACCTTCAAGAAAAATTAGTTAAAATAGGAAGCCACTGGATGGTGAACTTCCTCTTCCTTGCCTAAGCATCCTGGGATCTCTCCATGGAGTCTTGTATCCAGATGTTTGAAGTCTCCCCCTGAAATCTCTCCTCTATCTTCCCTTCATTTGCCCTAGACCCCAGTCACCAAAACTGCTGGTTAAAGTGTGGTTGGGAACACTTGATCCTATTCTCTATGCCTCTCCAACTGTACAGCTTCCTCATAGAGCCTCTCTTTCCCCCATCTTTTCTGGTTCTCCCCACCTGACTTTGCTTTTCTGTGTAGAACATGAAGGTGTGCTATTGTTCCCATTTGTAGGTGAGGGAAAGTTGGTTTGGGCAAAAGGAGGAAGAGAAGGAGAAAGAGCAGAAGGAAGAGAAGAAGGAGAAGAAAGACAAGAAGGAGGAGAAGAATGAGGAGGAGGAGAAAGAAGAAGGAAGAAGAAGGAGGAAGAAGAAGAAAGAGGAGGAGGAGGAGAGAAGGAAAAGAGGAAAAGGAGGAGAGGAAAAAGGCATCATTAACATTCATGGGTGTGAGTTAGCAGGGCTAACCTGTGCTGTTAAACCTGAGCTCCTCTATCTAGCCCTGGTACTAAGGAGACTCTGGAAAAATCATTAATTCTTGGGGAGAAGCGTGCCAGTCAGTCAAAAAAAAATCACATACGATTGAAGTTTGTGAATAAGAATAGAGGGATAGCAGGGGGAAATGGATAGGAAAAAATGAGACAATGACAACTTTTAGGAGAAGAAAGTGACTTTAGTCATAGATTCACAGCTACAAGGCCCTTCTAGGCCAGCTAGTCCAGTCCCCCTAATCTTACAGCTCGGGAATCTCAGGCCCAGAGAAGTTAAATAATTTGTCAAGTTCACAAAGCCAGTAAGTAGCAGAGCTGGAATTTGAACACAGGTCCTTTGACTTTAAAGTCAGCTGTCTTTCCGTTGTACTGCTATAGCACGAGGCTGTAGACTGATGTCTAGCTGTTAATAATAATAATAGCTGACATTTTTATAGCCAGGAAGACCTGGGTTTAAGTCCCTCCCCTGTCACATACTGACTGTGTGACCCTGAACAAGTCACACAACCTCTAAGTTCTCAAGGTTACTCTCTAAGAGCATAAATAGAAGATGCCAACTTGCATTGGTAGAGAAAGTGTTTCTCATCTAGAATTTCCTTATACCAAATGAAATCACAGGTTCAGTCCCTAGCCTTCATTTATATAGCGTTTTAAGGTCTACAAAGAGCTTTATATACATTATATCATTGGATCCTCACAACATCCCTATGGAGGTAAATGCTACAGGAAAAGTGGAAGGCACCTGTGTACCAGACATAGTGCTAAGAGCTTTACAATTATTATCTCATTTGATCTTTCCAATAACCTTGTGAGGTAGGTACACTTATTATCCCTATTTTACTGTTGAGGAAACTGAGGCATACAGAGTTAAGCCACTTGCCCAGGGTCACAAAGCTAGTAAGTGTCTGAGGCAAGATTTGAGCTCAGTCCTTCTTGTGAAGAATGAGAAACTTTCAAGGAGTGATACTCTTAAGCCTCCACTAACACTCAGAGATTTCCCGTTACTAGAGGCAGGATAAGCAATCCTGTAGAATGGAAAGCAGCCGGAGGAGAGCCTAGAGGGATGTTTTGTACCTTCATGATCCAGGGCTCTCTTCTAAAGTGTAGGAATCAATGGGAACGTATTCATTTGTTCAAACAGCATTTCCCTATTTTGTTAAACCCTGGAGTATCAACTTCAAAGGGACATCCTGAGAAGGGGACTTGATTCTCATGGTAAGCAAGGAAACAGCCTGCACTGAACTCACCAGACTAGTTCTTACAAATGAGCCAAGTGTGAGACATAATTACAAATCATGCATTTGTTTAAATGATTGAATTACCTGGATTTAGTTTTCCTCCAGAAGACTATTATTCCGGCATAAAAAGATGTGGACAGAATTTTCAGTTACAAAAAATATATACATATGTATATGTGTGTGTGTATTCTGTGTATTCTATATAACGTAACTATATGTATATGTATATAACATAACTATATGTGTAATATTATATATAACTGTATATAACCTGGGTATTTGTATACCCTGAATTGTGTAACTATATGCATTGATGGCAATGGTAGTCTTTTTGAAGAAACAACTGAGTAGGGGCAGCTAGGTGGTGCAGTGGATAGAGCTCTGGCCTTGGAGTGAGGAGGTCCTGAGTTCAAATCTGACCTTAGACACTTGACACTTACTAGCTGTGTGACCCTGGGCAAGTCACTTAACCCCGATTGCTTCACCAAAAACAACCAAAAAACAAACAACTGAGCTTAGTACCTTCAAAAACAAATAGTTAAAATAGGAAACTGTGTATTATATATGCCAAATAAAGAAGGTGACAGTCAATCAATCTTTGAGCAAAAAAGGATCTGAGAGATAATAATAGCCAGAATTTATATAGTGCTTAAAATATGTAATATATTTTACAAATATTTTCTTATTTTATCCACCAAAAAACTCCCTCTTACAGTGAGAAATCTGAGGCAGATTTCTCCCCAGTATCAAACAGCTGGTGAGTGTCTAGGGTGGGATTTGAACTCAGGTCTGCTTCCCTCTCAGTCACCCAGTCCAGTGCTCTATCCTCTGAATCCCCTAGCTACTGGTACCTGGTCTGCCCTTGCTCCTTTATTTTCCCAGAATAGGAAACTGAGGCCCAGAGAGGTTATGAAAAATACTAATCCCAAAGAAATGCACTGGAAAACCTTCCACCCCAAAGAAGTGCCTATTTCAGAAGGTGAGAGCAAGTCTCTTAGAAGAAAACTGTGGAATTCGAGAGACATAATTTCTGTGTAATTAGTCATTTTAGTAATAATGCCAGCATTTTAATAAAAAGAGGCCAGTGGCCCTCTGGAATGCCAAAGACAATATTGGCAGCTGGCTCATAGGCTTATATGCCCTTGGAAGAAGGGTGTTCCCGAGGGTGGCAATCAACTCTGATTAGTTAACAATTAATGAGAGGTGGACTTTACAAAAAGAAGTGAGCTCGCTCTAGTGAGGGGCTAAGAGTGACATCATGTCATTCTTAGACAAAGAGACTATCCCTGTACCCCGAACGCCCCCAGAGTTGGGCAATCTACACAAAAGGATCTACTGCCACCCAAGCTTGATTGAGTTGAATTCACCTTAGTTTAGAGATTGCTGGTCAGGTTGGGTGGGGTCTGACCAAGATTGTGGAGAGTTAATTTAATGTCCGAGAGACTAAACTTTGAAATGAGGACTATAGAAAAAAAAGTGGGGAAACTCTGGGACTCTCTAAATCATTGGTTATTAATAATCACTTCTCTCAAAACCTACTACCTGGCAATCATATTAAATGAAGCGTGTGGCTGTGTCATTAGTCATACCATAGAAATACTTGTCACCTAAATCATTGCAACACTGAATCTTGAATGTTACAGAGTGTGCTTTATCTCCTATCTGATTAGCAGTAGTCTTCATGTGCCTCTATATACACATAAGGATGTGTCACAGTCTCTATCACTAAGATCACACACTTATCTGTATCCCCCATAGCAGATAAATAAATCTTTTCTTTCTATCTTTTAGAAATCTGGAGAAGGTAAGATCTACCATCCACTATTTTTTTTTCTCCACACCGACAACCAATTAAAGAAATTGTCTGTTAAAAGAAAAATCCCTCCTCCTATCTTCCCCTAATGCCAGGAACTGGAGATAGACTTAGACCCACACCCTCCTCCAGCCTCTCCCTCTCATTTAAATTTGCATCTGCCCTTCCCAATGGGGTGGCCAAAGCTACCACTTCCTGCTAGTCCGCTGGCCAAGGTTCGAAGACACAGGACTTCTGCCGTCACCAGCAGTCCCAGTCAGGTACTGGGCATTCAAGTCTCCAGGATCCAGCCTAGTTTTGCTATCCCCCAGTGTGGCAAGCAGAGTCTCTGACAGCTTAGTGGCCTGCACCTGCCGAATATTTTCCCACCTTACCGCACTTCCAGTGCCCAGTTCAGGGTGGACAGCTCCAAGAGCGTCCCACTGCGGCCTCTGCCCGCCCCCGCATCTGTTCCCCTGGGGGCCAAGAGACGCTTCTGGGAAGGCTCCAGTGGCCGGGCTGATTGACAGCCAGCCGCTCCCGGACGCCGGCTCGCTCTGGTACTTTGGAAAGAAACTTGTGCTGAGCAGTCATGAGCGCGCCGCGGGAAATCGGCACCTTCGTGGTGTGGGACTACTTGGTGTTCGCAGGGATGCTGCTCATCTCTGCTGCCATCGGTGTTTACTATGCCTTCTCCGGGGGCGGCCAGCAGACCTCCAAGGACTTCCTAATGGGCGGTCGGAGTATGACTGCGGTGCCAGTGGCACTGTCCCTCACCGCCAGCTTCATGTCCGCGGTCACAGTCCTGGGGACCCCCTCTGAGGTCTATCGCTTTGGGGCCATATTCAGCATGTTCGCCATCACTTACGCCTTAGTGGTCATCCTCAGCGCCGAGGTCTTCCTCCCAGTCTTTTACAAGCTAGGCATTACCAGCACCTACGAGGTAAGGCAACACTTCCTTTGGCCACTGACGTCCCCCGGCTGGGGTTTGGTTTGGGTAGATTTTACAATATTGAATTTGGAGCTGTCGGATTAAAGATTTAGAGTTGGAAGAGACCGTAAGGTCATCTGGTCCAGCCCTCCCCTCCCACTGGGTCCCAAAAGAGGTTAAATGACTTGTCTAGGGTCACACAAGCATTAAGTGGTAAGTCCTCTGTTTCCAAATCCGGAGCTCTTTCCACTATGAAATACTTCCTCCCCCTTTATGAAATCCTATCTCCGTTCCTCGAACATTTCTTGGGAGCGGTACAAAGACACGGGGACCTGCTTATTTAATCATCCTTCTCTCAACCTTGTTGGCTCATTGGGAAGTAGAGGGGTGGAAGGCTTTCCAGTGCCTTTTTGTTCATTGAGGGAGCTTTGGAAGTCTCCCTTCCTCCTGAAATTTGAACTTTTGCTATAGGGAAACTATATCCCAAATCAAGGTTGGAATGTGGGCTACAAAAATATTATCCCTAGCCCAAATTAGTGAGAGGGGACAAAAACTCTGAGCCAGGAGCCAAAAGAGCCGAGCTTCGGCTTAAGGATATGTTCCTGACTCAGTCTCCAGGTAAGATTATAAAGCACTGATGCCAACCCCAATCTTGGCCGTCAACTTTCTCCCTGTGTATGTGTCTCTGTACAAAGCATTTATTCTGTTTCTGCCTCCTTTTGTTGTCTGGGAAAAGTAAGATTAACCACACCCAGCTCTTCTCTCATGCCTGTGTAGAGGAAACAAGGCATGCTCTAGAGGATAGAGGGCTGACCTTGGGGTCGGGAAGACCTGGGTTCAAGTTTCACCTCCCTGTCACCTTGGGCAAGTAACCTAAACTTTCAATGCAGGGCAACTCATTAACACTTATAAATGAGGGCATTGAGGTGGCGCAGTGGCCCTGGAGTCAGAAGGACCTGAGTTCAAATCCATCTTCAGACCAGACACTTGACAGTTACTGACTTTGTGACCCTGGACAAGTCACTTAACCCCAATTGCCTAAAAAAAAAAGACATAAATGACAGCTGATTGATCTGCATTGATGAAGGGTGTGTTCACACTGGGAGTTCCATGTTCCATACACTGATGAAATCACATGTCTGGACACACACATATATGCATGTGTGCATGTAATAGAGATTGAGACTGAAGATATTCACATGCACACATATATGTATATACATATATATCCACACATATGTGTGTGCATATATGTGATAGAAACAGAGATGACCATAATATTAACATGTTCAAATTCCTGGCATTTTTCTCTAACATACTTTTTAGAATCATGGCATACACACTCATACATACATACATACATACATACATACATATATGAGACAGAATGGTTTAGTAGATAGATAAATGACTTCAGGGTCACAAATACAATACAATATAATGTATGATATATAAATATAATAAACATATTTATTTTATTTATATTTTACTTATTTATTACTTAATTTATGTATATATTTATGTGTAGATAGATCTTGATATATCTGTCTATATATATAGCAAGAGACTCGGGTATACCTATATAAACATATGTATAGAGAGAGGGTAGGAGAAAGAGACAGAAAGAGAGACAGAGACAGGCAGAGAAAGGGAGAGAGAGGGAGAGAGAGAGATAAGTAAGGACTGGATTTGTGATTTCCCTGCAATAAGAAACTGCTTCCCTCAACGCAGGTCAGCACCTTCTCTGCATCATGTAGCCTTAGACAGTCCTCTTGGGTCCCACAGCCATTCCTGTATGTGTCAGAAATGAGACTTGCAGTTTTTTTTTACTGGCTATAGTTCTCTATCCACTACACCAGGATATGTGTGTGTGTGTGTGTGTGTGTGTGTGTGTGTGTGTGTGATCTTTGGAGCCTGAGAAGTCTTGACATTCATAGCAACAAGTGCACACAATATACAATTATAATGTACAATAAATAGGGGCAGTTAGGTGGCACAGTACATAGAGCACCAGCCCTGAAGTCAGGAGGACCTGAGTTCAAATCCGGCCTCAGACCAAATACTTGACACTTACTAGCTGTGTGATCCTGGGCAAGTCACTTAACCCCAATTGCCTCACCCAAGAAAAAAAAATAAAGACTATAATGTATAATATACAAATATATGCTGTGATTCTGTACTACTTTAGAGAAAGTGGCCAGAGTCCTGGAAATCCTTTATTCTGGTTATTTCTGTCTGTGCCATATGCTTGCATTGGACAGTGAGTTCTGGGAGAACCAGACTGTCTCTTCTCTAAATTTTGCCTCTCTCCCAAGGCCTGGCTCAGGGGGTTCTCTGCACACTGTAGGCACTGAAGAATCTGTTGACATTGAACAGGGTTGATGCTTAATCAAGAGGTATTGAAGTTAAAAAAGGCAGGGTGGGGTGTGGCAAATGAAGGTGAAGGGCTTTTGAAACATGAGCACGGAAAATTCAGTCTTGACTCTGTGGTAGGACAGAGATGCCTTCAGCGTTCTTCACCTCCATCCTTTAGCATCTGTTAATTAATACTTGGAAAATCAACAGTCAGTGTTCTATTTTATACAGTATAACAACCAGAGGTCAGCCTAGTTAGTCTAACTGTTTGCTTCAGTTGATAGAACTGATGGGCAATTTCCTAGTGAGGTGGGTTCAGTTTACATGAGGTAAGTGAAAAGGGCTGGATTTTGAGTCAAAGAATTTGAGTTTGAATCCTATTCCTGCCATTTGTTGCTTATGTGACCTACTCACCCTTTCTGGGACTGTTTGCCTCTCTGTAAAATGGTTGGGCTCTCTTGGTGGTCTCTCTGAACCTTCCCTTAGTTTCCTTCATGGCTTAGCTTAGGTGCAAGTCTTTTCCTGGAAACCTTTTCTGATCCTACCAGTGGTTTTTCTCTCCCTTGACCTTAACCCCCACCAAATTATCTCATTATTATCTTGCTATAGATTCAGAGCTGGGAGAAATCCTAGAAACCATCTTGTTCAACTCCCACATTTTACAGATGAGTAAACTGAGACCAAGAGAGGCGAAATTACTTGCCCAGGTAGTAAGCAATAGTGACCAGATTCAAACTCAGGACCTCATGTTCCAAATTCAGGGCTCTTTTTACTGTACCAATTATCTCATTTATATTTCAACATATTTGGTTCTATTGCCATATAGAATGTAAAACCCTTAAAGCAGGGACTATTTTTTTTTGTTTTTGTTTTGATCTGTGTATCTCTAATACTCAGGGCAATGCCATGAACAATTGTTTGTTCTATGGGGAGGGGTGGGGCTCACCCTCTGATTTTATTGGTATGGGAACTGGTTAAAAAAAAAACCAATTCCCTCTATACACATCACTGTCTTACACTGTTAGACCTCTTCCTCTCCCTCCCCTCCTCTTCTCCCTCTCTCTCTTCTCTCTCGGTCTCTCTCTGTCTCTCCCTCTCTCTGTCTGTCTCTCTCCTCTCTCTCCTCCTCTTCCCTCTCCCTCTTTCTGTCTTTCTCCCTTTCTCTGTCTTTCTGTCTGTCTCCCCCTTCCTCTCCCTCCCTCTTTTTCTCTCCCCTCCTCTTCTCTCCTTCTCTCTCTGTCCTCCCTTTCTCTGTCTGTCTTTCTGTCTGTCCCTCTCTCTGTATCTCTCCCTCTTTCCTCTTTTTTCCCCTACCCTCTCTTCCTCTCTCATGCTCCCCTTTTGCCGCCTGATGAAGTTGATGGATCCTTCTCAGGGTAATGCTTTTAAACGCATTAAAGAAAATACACGAGGTTAAGAAAATCAATTGTAATGCCATGTAGTTATCAAAATATTGAAGAAAACCAGACCCTACTGAATTCATGGTCCCCAGGTTGAGAAACTTTGTCAGGGCAGCAGTTCTCAGGTGTTTTGGTCTTAGGACTCCCTTAGTCTCTTAAAAATTACTAAGGAACCCCTCTCCCTCCAATAGCTTTTGTTGTGGTGGGATATAGCTATTGATATTTACCATATTGGAAATTAAAAATCTTACTATTATTAGGAAAATAATTTTAAAATAAGTTAATTAATAATCAATTACCATATTAATATTACAGAATATATTGATAATGATTAATAAATAATAAATTAAACTTTTTATTAATTAAAATAATTTTAAACCCATAGGTTCCCTGAAGGGAGCCCCCAGATGGGGACCCCCAGGGATCTCTCAACTATACTTTGAGAACCACTGTTTTAGACAGTTGTCTGGGGGAATAAGGTTAAGTGAATTGCCCAAGGTCACATTGTTTCAGAAGTAGGAATCGATCCCAAGTTTTTCTGCATGAGTCTGCTCTCTGTCACTGTTGCCTCCCATATTGTAAGTGCTTAATGAATGCTTATTGGAACAAATTGAATTGAAGAGTATCATGTAAAAAAAAAATCGGCTGTAGAATATGGTCAAGTATCCTAGACATTTCTTTGGGTTGGATGTTGGCTGTTTCCCCACGTACTGACATTACTGAAAATCTTTTTGTTGTTTTATTATTTAGTTGTTTCAGTCATGTCCAACTCTTTGTGACCTCATTTTGGGGTTTTTCTTGGCAAGGATACTGGAGTGGTTTGCCGTTTCCCTCTTCAGCTCATTTTATAGATGAGGAAACCGAGGCAAGCAGGATTAAGTGACTTATCCAGGGTTATACAACTAGTAAGTGTATGAGGTCAGATTTGAACTCAGAAAGAAGGTTTGTCCTGATTCCAAGCCCAGTGCTCTATCTACTATGCCACCTAGCTGCCCATGATACTCCAGAGTGAGGGGATGTGGTCCATTTGGTAGAAAGAGCTGAGCTTAGGAAAATATAGGCAAAATGCCTGTATACAGAGTAGCCATTCAAGGAAAGAGAAATTGGTCAAAGGCAGAGGAGAAAAGGAAATTTTAGGAGCATATCAGTAAATAGAGACTCTGGAGGAAGCCACTAAAAAAAGCCACTTAATCTCTTTCGTGTCATCAACTCCTTTGGACAGCTGATGAAGCCTATGAACAATGTTTGTTAATGAATAAGATGTATAGGATTACAAAGGAAAACAATTTTATTGAAATAAAGTTATCAATTTTTAAAAGTTCACAGATCCCAGGTTAAGAACCTCTAGACTAAAGTATTTATCTGTGACTTTCTTTTCATGTAAGGAAAAAAAATTGGGGCAGCTTGGTGGTACAGTGGATAAAATACTGGGGTCTGGAGTCAGGAGTACCTGAGTCCAAATCTGGCTTCATCTTCTGGCCACACAGAACTTCCTGTGTGACTACGGGTAAGTCACTTAACTCTGTTTGCTTCAGTTTCCTCATTTGTCAAATGAGCTGGAGAAGGAAATGGCAAACCACTCCAGTATCTCTGCCAAGAAAACCCCAAATGGGGTTGGACATGCTTGAACAATAACAAAAATTGATTGCTCAGTAGGCAGTGTAAATATTCCAGGCTCAACTTTCTTGCTTGGGTTTCATTTCTCTCCATAATGATTTGCCTTCCTTTACCTAACACTAGCTGCTAAAATTCTTAGTGTGGACTAGTAGAGAAAATAGTGCAGACATCACAACCAGGGTTCAAATCCTGACTGTGATACTTAACTGGCTGTGTAACTGTGGGCAGATCACTTAACTTGTCTAAACCCCAATTTCCTCATCTGAAAAATGGGGAAGAATAACACAGTTAGCACCTATGTCACAGGGTTGTGGGGAGGTGAAAATAATTTTTGTTTTAACTATATCTCTGTTTTTTCTCCTACCCAGACATCTATTATGGGGGTGGCTCTCAGGAGATGAGTCTGCTCTTTATAGGGGCACTTGGTTGTAGAGAAAGGGTCCTTCAAAGAGAATGCTTTAACAAAAGTGCTATAACAAAGTCCCCAAATGGAGAGAAATTTTCCAGAGGTAGAAGCAGTTTAGGGGCATCTTTTGGGGACTCCACTTCAGGGAAAGAGGTCCTCTTTAACATTCCATTAGAATAATATTAGTTCATTCTCTATCTTCCTGATGATGGGGAAATAACATAGGTGAGATTAAGGTGTTTGTCATTTTTTTGGGCAAGCAGTATTCTAGGTAGGTCTTGCCAGTTTCATATGGACAAAAAACCACCAGAAGTAACAGTTTCCCATTTAACTCAGTTTTCCTAACTTTGAGTCTTGTCCTGTTTCCATGGTCCCATACTGCAAGGTTGGACTCTGTGAGGTTAATCTGGGCCATCTATGGGAATTTCTTCTTTTATCAGTGGTCTCAGGATCCCCGGATTGTGCTGAGTCTTCCAAGGTCTCAAAGACCCTGAGAAGAGCTTATTCATTTGGTGGGGATAATGGTGGTGGTGGGTGTGCTACAAAGCATCTGGGCTTTCCTGTAGGGTTTCGGACTACATGACCTTCTCATGTTCTTGCAGCTCTGAATCTATGATAGCTACTCTTCTAGTACAAGAAGTATTGGTCATGCCTCCTAAACTATTTTACCTTCTTTTTTTATTTTTTAATAGTACTTAGAGCTTCGTTTTAATAAACACATTCGCCTCTGTGGAACCGTTCTGTTCATTGTTCAAACGGTAAGTAGCTCTCCAGTGTACTTTTTATATTTTTGCAATCTAAAGTGTTTTGGTAAAATATCAATGGAAACTGAGTATCTTGTTCATTAAGGAGCTTCTAAATGGATGTACAAAACTGAAAATGGAAAAGGAAAAAGTGAGTGAACTGGAAATAGGAGAAAAAGCTATGGCAGAATATTGAGAACAGAGATTCTATGAGCTCAGAAAACGTTCTCAGTTCAGATCTTACTTACTAGACACTTAATAGCTTTGTGATACGGGGCAACTCAATTAACTTTTCTGTGCCTCAGTTTCCTCAGGATAATAATAGCATCTACCTCCTAGGGTTAGAGCAAAGATAAAATGAGATAATATTTGTAAAGTATATTGCAACCCTTGAAGCACTATATAAATGCTAATTGTTTATAATAACAATTATTATTATGACCGCAATAATAATTATTATTCACAAACAGGATTATTTAGATTAATCTTTAGACCTGGTCTGAAAAAGTAATGTGTGTTCACTTACTTCGGGCAATATCTATTTAGCCCCAATTTCTTAAATTAAAAAAAAAATTGATACTAACAATCTAATTTATATGGCAAGGTATTTGAGGAGTTTGTTGGAAATGCTCAAGATTACTGATAACTCCCCATCTATAGTACTTTAAGGATTGCAAAACACTTTCCTAACTGCATCCTTGTGGGGTTCAGCTAGGTGGTAAATATACAAAGGATCTAGGTTGTGATATCTTCTGCATGAGGGTCTCCCACTATGGAAACAGCAGTCACCACTGCAGAACTACATAGCAACTCTGCTGATAGGCTCATATCAACATAGATTTGGAACTGGTGCAGACCTTAGAGGCTATGGAGTTATACCCCCTCACTTGACAGATGAGGAAACTGAGGCCTAGAGAGGAATAATAACTTCCCCAAAGCCACACAGCTGATAAATGAGAAGGGCAGGATTTGAACCTACATTCTGCTGACCCCTGGTCCAGAACTCAGTGCCTGACACTATATGATCATAGTATTCCAGCTTTAGAGCTGGAAAGGTACTTTATGGGTCTTCTTGTTCAACTCCCTTATTTTACACTTGAGGAAAGGAAACAGGTTTGGGAAAGTTAAATGAACTTGAAATGAAAATGAAATGGTGAAAATGAAAAATAAAGTTGTGGAACCAGGATTTGAATCCAGATCCTCTGACCTCCAAACCTAAAATCCTTTCTTTTTTTCTTTTTAAATAGTATTTACTTTTTTCTAATTACATGTAAAGACAATTTTTAACATTCATTTAAAAATTTTTTTGAGGGGCAGCTAGGTGGCGCAGTGGATAGAGCACCAGCCCTGAAGTCAGGATGGATCTGAGTTCAAACCCGGCCTCAGACCAAATACTTCACACTTACTAGCTGTGTAACCCTGGGCAAGTCACTTAGCCCCAGTTGCCTTAAAAAAAAAAAAGCAGGTGAAAATTTTTTTGAATTCCAAATTTTCTCCCTCCCTTCCTTACATTCTCCCCTCCCTAAGATGGTAAGCTATTCGATATAGCTTATATATGTATAATCATGTAAAATATATTTTCGTATTAATCACCCATCATCCTTTCTGCTAAACTTTCACTTCAAAAATATTATTTTAGGTACCATAAATTTATGGTTATTATTTCCATTTCAGAGATGAGGACACTGGGTTTTAGAGCAGGGACGTGACTTGTCCAAGGTCATGCAGGTACTATGAAGCTGAGGTGGGCTTCAGACTCAGCTCTTGACTCTCAGTGCACTTCTCTGTTCATTGGGATGATCAGGTAAGAATCAAGTGTCAGGAAGATGAATTCAAAAAAGAACAACAGATCATTGTACAGAGGTTCATCATTTTTGCCTGACATCTTGAGGAGAGGAGATTGAAAAAGGCATGTGTGCATCAAGTGTAGCTTTCAAAAAAAATTATTAGGTCTTTAATAAAAGAAATACCAAGTGCTTACTCAACTGAAAACTAGCATTTCAATTATAAGGTCATAAAAATCACACATTGGTGAGCTCATCTTCAAAGACAAGTGTTTCCTAAAAAGAACCATCCAAGTGCTTAGGAATGTTCCAGGGAAGTTGGCTCAATCTGGAGTCAGAAGCTTGGGAAAGTAGGTCACTGTGAAGCCAGGAATGCAATTGTTGCCTCAAGTGTTTGGGGTTACTGATGTGGCAAAGGGCTGACACAGAGCCTCCCTGACTCATCAGGTTCAGCCCTTCATGGTGGATAAGGATTTTGGCAAAGCTTAGCCAGTCTTTGAGGAATGAACCAATGGGGAAAGGTAGAAGGCTTCTTCATTTTGACCATTGAAACTCACGTAGGCCTTTGCCATGGTGACTTGAATGATGTCTTGGCCAAACTTGTATCTGGATTCTCCAGGAGGTAAAAAAGGAATATAGAGGGAGAAAAAGGGAGCTTGCTTATGCTACCTGGCTTGAACTGCTAAGCGAGGTCTGCAGCTAAGTTTACAGTTAATGATCTCCACTTGCCCTGCCAAATCAGTTCTTCTTTAAGTCACTCTTTGAAATGCTCAGAAAAGTGATTGATTAGGAAGGAAGGGCTCTCATTTCCTCCAAAGAAGATTCCTGGACATGCTTATGACTTTCTCTGTCACACACACACACACACACACACACACACACACACAAACACAGCAGCAGCAGCAGCAGATGTGGAAATGCAATTTTGTTTTAAAGAAAGGTAAGTGTTCTTGATGAAAAGACCAGAGCTGAATAGAAAATTTGACTTTCCAATACAAGACTCAAGTGGAACATGAAGAGGTAAACAGGAAAGAGAAATCATAAGAGACTTATTAAGGTTGAACTGTTTACCTTCCTGCATGGAAAGATGATATTTGTAACTCATGAGACCTTTGTCAGTATTAGGGTAGTTGGAGGGGAAAAATTATATGTATGTATTATATATATATATGGATGGATAGATAGACAGATAGATAGATAGAGGGCACAGGGTGAGTTGAAGATGAAAGGGTTATATCTGGAGAATAAAATTAAGGGGTGAGAGAGGATTATACTAGGAGAAGGAGAAAGGGAAAGGTAGAATGGGGTAAATTATCTCACAAAAAAAAACAGAAAAGAAAAGGCTCTTACAGTGGAGGGGAAATGGGAGAAGGTGAGAGGGAATGAGTGAATCTCATTCTCATAGGATTTGACTTAAGGAGGAAATAACATACACACTCAATTGGGTATGGAAATCTGTCTTACCCTACAGGAAAATAGGAGGGAAAGACAACAAGAGAGTAGGGGGATGATAGAGGGAGGGCAGATTGGGAAAGGGGGTAATCAAGAGCAAATACTTCTGAGGAGGGACAGGGTCAAAAGAAAGAATAGAATAAATGGGGGGGGGCGGGATAGGATTAAGGGAAATAGAGTTAGTTTTTCACCACATGTCTATGGAAGTGTTTTGCATGACTGCACATGTATAGCTCGCCTTTTCAATGAGGGTGGGTGGGGAGGGAGGAAGGGAGAAAATTTGGAACCCAAAGTTTTAAAAACACATGTTAAAAAAAAATAATGCCTTTGTATCCTCCGCAGCTAACATAGTACTTTATAGACAGTAGGTGCTTAACAAATGTTTATTGAATTGAAAAAAATAAAATTAAAAAAAAAGAATGGTGCAAAGAAATGATGAGCAGGTAGATTTCAGAAAAACCAGGAAAGACTTCCATGAACTGATGCTGAGTGAAGTGAGTAGAACCAGGAGAACATTGTACACAGTAACAGCAACATTGTACCATGCTCAACTGTCATAGACTTGGTTCTTCTCAGCAATACAATGATCTAAGACAATTTCAAAAATTCATGATGGAAAATGCTATAACCACATCCAGAGGAAGAACTATGGAGTCTGAATGCAGATGGAAGCAGACTATTTTTATTTTTTTTTTGTTTTTTTATGTGGTTTTTCTTTTTTTTCTGAATCTTCTTTCACAACATGGCTAATGTGGAACTATGTTTAATATGATTGTGCATCTATATCAGATATATAATCCATATCAGATTGCTTGCTGTCTTGAGGAGGGGAGAGGGAAGGAAGGGAGGGAGAAAAATTTGGAACTCAAAATTTTACAAAAATGAATGTTGAAAACTATTTTACATGTAACTGGAAAAAATAAAATACTATTAAGGAAAAAAAAAGAATGGTGCAAGGGCAGCTAGGTGGCACAGTGGATAGAGCACTGGCTCTGGAGTCAGGAGGACCTGAGTTCAAATGCAGCCTCAGACACTCACTATCTGTGTGACCCTGGGTAAGTCACTTAACCCTGATTGCCTCCCTAAATTAAAAAAAAAATGGCACCAAGTTATTAGGAAGCAGTTCCATTAAGCAAATAACAGTTATCTTTTACTGGGTGGGAAATAGTTAAGCAGACTATGCTATACCAGTGATATGCTCCCATAAAGATAAAAATCAAGACTATGTAGAAATATGGAAACACCTATATAAAAGTCCTGCTAAATGAAGAGAGTAAAGGCAGCAGCATGGAGTGCAGAATGCCAAAACTGGAAAGGATCTCAGGGGCTATGAAGCCCATCCCCTAGCTAAATAGGCATGCCCTTTACATCATCTCCAGTGCGGGACAATGGAAAGAGCACTGACTCCAGAGCAGAGGACCTGAGTTCCAATCCCACCTTTGACGATTGCTACCTGTTACTTTCAGTACATCACCCTGGAGCTCAGTTTTCTCATGTGTAAAATGATGGGTCAGAATGAGGTAGATCCCCTCCAGCTCTGTGCCTGTCATCTCATGCCTGTCTAGCTTCCATGTAAAGTTCTCCATCAACGGGGAACTCATTTCCTTGGAAGTTTGCCCCACTGTTGGACAGCTCCAATTGATAGACAAGTTCTGCCTCTCTGACACTTTGACACTTTCTTCCTAGTTCAGTCTTCTGGACACAGGAAGAGCAAATTCAGACCCTCTTCCATGAGAACCCTTCAAATGCTTGAATTTAGGGACAGCTAGATGGTGCAGTGAATACAGCTGGAGTTAGGAGGATCTGAGTTCAAATCCAGCCTCAGACACTTACTACCTAGCTGTGTGACCTTGGGCAAGTCACTTAATCCCCATTGCCTCCAAAATAAAAAAATAAAAAAAACCAAATGCTTGAATTTAACTCTCCTAGCCTCTATGACCCTCAACCTAGGTGCCCCAAATGTTTTCTTCTCTAGGCTGGCCCTTTGATCATCCATGAATGGCATCTCCAGTACCCTACCAATTCTGATTGTCTCCCTGGGGCTAGACTCTAGTTTTTCAACGTTTTTGCTGAAATCTGATGCCCAGAATTCAAAACAGAGTGAATGTGGGTGTGGTCCAAGCCTGGAGATTCCTGAACTGTTCAACAGACATTTATTGAGTCCCTAATTGTGTGTAAGACTCTACATTAAATACAAGGAAGAATACAAGCTGGTCCCTCCCCTAATGAAGCTTATAGTCTAGTAGGAGTTGAAAGATATGTACATAAATATGTACATAAATGACAAAAGGTGTAGTGTTAAGAGTTGGCAACAGTTCACTAGAACCAATCTAAATATATGTCCATGTATGGGGTACATTATCTATTGTAAACATAAATATGAGTTAACATGTAAAAAATGCTTTGAAAACTTTAAAGCACTGTATAGATGCTAGGCATTATTATTATTATTATTAACTCCAAGTTCTAAACACAATAGAAGGGAATGGCCAGAGAGTAGGAAAGTAACTGATAACCAGCGATAAATAAGGTTGAGGGTACAGCAAGTTTCCTCCCAATGGGTCCTGACCCACGTGGAGGGTCCAGGATAAGAGAAATTCAGAAAGAAATTCTCATGGAACTGATGGGGGAAGATGAGGCCACCCAAGAGGATCAGGTAAAAAACATCTGGGTAAAAAAGAATTGGGGGCAGCTCAGTGGCACAGTGGTTAGAGCACCAGCCCTGGAGTCAGGAGAACCCGAGTTCAAATCTGGCCTCAGACACATAACACTTACTAGCTGTGTGACTCTGGGCAAGTCACTTAACCCCATTGCCTAGCCAAAAGACAAAAACAAACAAACAAAAAAAGAATTGAATGCTCATTCATTTATCAGTTATTGATGACCATACATAGAATTTCATTTGTAAAGTTGATTAAACATATAGTCACCAAAGCATGAAAATTAATTATTGGGTCCATACAGTGAGCCCATTTGTTCTGGAGATGAAACCAGGTGTGCTAGAGGGCACAAGAGAGAGTGGACATCTTCCCTCCATGCACAAAATAGAGTTAAATAATAGAGTTACCAGTGAACTTGAACAATAAATTGACTTTAATAGTGAAGTTCATATACTATTAAACTGTATTATTTCCATTTTCATACTCTGTCTTTCCTTTTCTAGATTCTGTATACTGGAATTGTTATTTATGCTCCGGCTCTTGCTTTGAATCAAGGTAAATTTTTAAGCAGTCAACAATGCTACTTGTGCTTACATTTGGATGAGAGCAGTTATCTCTTGGGGGATGAGAAGGAGGATTCGTTGATGTAGCGCCATGATGGAGATGAGTTTCTAGTGACCTTCGTGGAATCACAGGATCCTAGCATAAGATCAAAGGCTCTTAGATACCATAGGTACTAAAACACACTTTAGAAGTCAGCTAAATCAACCTCTCATTTTACAGTTAAG